TGTCACATTGTAAATAAGTAGAAGATTATATTAACTGGAACCCAAAGGAGGAGTAATGGAAGAGAAATAAACACTGAAAATAATATTGGAACACCATGTGTGTGTGTGTGTGTGTGTGTGTGTGTGTGTGTGTGTGTGTGTGTGTGTGTGTGTGTGTGTGTGTGTGTGTGTGTGTTGTAAATATGCTGTAGAGCATATCAGGTGGTAGTAGATGATAGCGCATAGTGTAGATGTGTGATGGTGGTAGTGGTGGTAGAGGATAGCGTACAGTGTAGCTGTGTGGTGGTGGTAGTGGTGGTAGTGGTGGTAGAAGACAGCGGATAGTGTAGCTGTGGTGGTGGTAGTGGTGATGGTAGTGGTGGTAGAAAACAGCGTATAGTGTAGCTGTGTACTGGTGGACTGAGCTTGTTGACAATGTAATACATTATCCAGACCACCTTCAGCCCCCGCTGCTCCACACATGGTGGCCATTAAGGTTACGCAGACCAGAATTATTAATGTTGTGGGTCAGCCATTTGCCTCCTGTCTGGTGGGTAGTGTTTGCTCTTGTGCTGTGTAAATAATTCCAAAATTTATATGTAACTAAAAACAAAAAAGTTTTTACATTACCCAATTTTTTTTACTACTTACCCAGTTTTAGACCGCCAGGAGACAGTTTTAGAACGACTAGAAGCAAGTTTCAGAAGGCAAGGAACGAGTTTTAAACAGCCAGAATCCAGTTTTATACGACCAGTAGCCAGTTTTAGACAGCCAGAAGCCAGTTTTATACGACCAAGAGCCAGTTTTAGACGGATAGAAGCCACTTTCAAACAGCCAAGAGTGGCAACCATATCGAGGTAGAACGCTTACTATTAAATAAGTAGGCGAAAAATCTTGTTTGTTCAATATATACGGCAACGAGGAAGAGAGAGATAAGAGGCAGAAGAAAAAGAGACGAATACAGAAGCGGGTGATGACGGTTGGAGGGAGGGAGAGAGAGAGAGAGAGAAGGAGAGAGAGAGAGAGAGAAGGAGAGAGAGAGAGTGAGAGAGAGAGAGAGAGAGAGAGAGAGAGAGAGAGAGAGAGAGAGAGAGAGAGAGAGAGAGAGAGAGAGAGAGAGAGAGAGAGAGAGAGAGAGAGGAGAGAGGAGAGAGAGAGAGAGGGGGAGAGAGAGAGAGAGAGAGAGAGAGAGAGAGAGAGAAGAGAGAGAGAGAAGGAAGAGAGAGAGAAGAGAGAGAGAGAGAGAGAGAGAGAGAGAGAGAGAGAGAGAGAGAGAGGAGAGGAAGGAGAGAGAGAGAGAGAGAGAGAGAGAGAGAGAGAGAGAGAGAGAGAGAGAGAGAGAGAGAGAGAGAGAGAGAGAGAGAGAGAGAGAGAGAGAGAGAGAGAGAGAGAGAGAGAGAGAGAGAGAGAGAGAGAGAGAGAGAGAGAGTCTGAGAACTAGAGCAGGGCAAAACGTTTCCTTAGCTAAAGGAAGGACAATAAAGGCAAACCCCTAACGCTTGACATTTGGGGCAGACCGGAACGGGAAGTTTTTTTGGCAGGGATATTCCTGCGCGGGCCCTAAGCCTTTGGCTGGCCCACTGCGCGGGCCCTAAGCCTCTGGCTGGCCCGCTAAGTGTTGCGTGTTTCTGTTTTACTTGGGCGGAGTATTTATGACTCGTATGGTCGCTTCAGTAAGATTTCGCCCCACGTGTTTAACATCTTCTTCTGCTCTGTTGAATCTAAGTTGAAATCTTAATGGGTTTGTAACTGTGCACTGTGTTAGATAATGTTCCAGTGGTCTGTTGGGCATTTCTCCACAGTGCTGACATTTCCTCTCATCTTCCGGAACCTGTAAGCCTATTTCCCATGCACATGGGTATCCAAGCCTGATACGATGTAAGTGTACTTCTGTTGCTCTACTGCTCCCTTTCATCAAACTAAGTGGTTCGTAGTTGGTTGAATTCTTGTACCAACCCGCAGATCCTGATGTTGCAACTGCTGTGTTGTGGTCACTAAGGAACGAGAAGTGATTTCCTTAATACCTCCAGACAAAACTAAAAAATAAAATGTTTCTTAAGGGAATCTGAAATATTTCTTCGGTTCTGAAGGAAGAGAGCATAACAGTTTGTGGGACGGTAAACGTTCTCTCCCTCCTTCCTTGTGATGAAGGAAAAGGGAACAAGGGCTCCTAACACAGCCTGTCACAAGGGAACAAGGGGCTCCTAACACAACCTGTCACAAGGGAACAAGGGCTCCTAACACAGCCTGTCACAAGGGAACAAGGGGCTCCTAACACAACCTGTCACAAGGGAACAAGGGCTCCTAACACAGCCTGTCACCAGGGAACAAGGGGCTCCTAACACAACCTGTCACAAGGGAACAAGGGCTCCTAACACAGCCTGTCACCAGGGAACAAGGGGCTCCTAACACAGCCTGTCACCAGGGAACAAGGGGCTCCTAACACAACCTGTCACCAGGGAACAAGGGGCTCCTAGCACAACCTGTCACCAGGGAACAAGGGGCTCCTAGCACAGCCTGTCACCAGGGAACAAGGGGCTCCTAACACAACCTGTCACAAGGGAACAAGGGGCTCCTAACACAGCCTGTCACCAGGGAACAAGGGGCTCCTAGCACAACCTGTCACAAGGGAACAAGGGGCTCCTAACACAACCTGTCACAAGGGAACAAGGGGCTCCTAACACAGCCTGTCACAAGGGAACAAGGGGCTCCTTACACAACCTGTCACAAGGGAACAAGGGGCTCCTAACACAGCCTGTCACAAGGGAACAAGGGGCTCCTTACACAACCTGTCACAAGGGAACAAGGGGCTCCTAACACAGCCTGTCACAAGGGAACAAGGGGCTCCTAGCACAACCTGTCACAAGGGAACAAGGGCTCCTTACACAACCTGTCACAAGGGAACAAGGGGCTCCTTACACAACCTGTCACAAGGGAACAAGGGGCTCCTAACACAGCCTGTCACAAGGGAACAAGGGGCTCCTTACACAACCTGTCACAAGGGAACAAGGGGCTCCTAACACAAACTGTCACGACGCAGTTTGTGCCCCGAGTTCCTAAGCATTTTCCTTCATAAGGAAACTGAGGCAAGATGAAGCAAATAATACCGAGCAGAATGGAGTGGTGAGGAGGTATAAAAAGGAGAAACAGGTGAAGAGAAAAAAAAATGAGAAGACCAAGATGGAGGAAGAGGAGGGAGAAGGAATAGAAGGATGGAGAAAGAGAAGGAAGGAGGACGAGAAGGATGGAGCACAAGGATAGGATAACGAGCAATAAATGAGAGTGATGGAAAAATAAATTCAGGAGGAGGAAGAGAGAAGAACAAGTAAGAAAGGAAGACGAAGAAAATTCCGGGAACAAAAAGGAAGTGGGAGAACGGAAAAGGTTTCTTTTCTGCTAAGACAAAATAAATGTCATCTCTGCACGGAGCGACACTGAAGGGAAAAAACACTTTTGTTTTCGTAGATGCTAAAGCCAGGAGGGAGATGCTGATCTTGTCACGCTGACAAGATGTTGATCTTGTCACGCTTACAAGATGCTGATCCTTGTCACGGTGACAAGATGCTGATCTTGTCACGCTGACAAGATGCTGATCTTGTCACGCTGACAAGATGCTGATCTTGTCACGCTGACAAGATGCTGATCTTGTCACGCTGACAAGATGCTGATCTTGTCACGCTGACAAGATGCTGATCTTGTCACGCTGACAAGATGCTGATCTTGTCACGCTGACAAGATGCTGATCTTGTCACCCTGGCAAGATGCTGATCTTGTCACCCTGGCAAGATGCTGATCTTGTCACGCTGACAAGATGTTGATCTTGTCACGCTTACAAGATGCTGATCCTTGTCACGGTGACATGACTCCGTTGTTGGGCATACCGTCACACTAACACCTTATTTGTCTGCTCTCCCCCACACTCTTCCACACACCCAGACACTCCTACACACTACCACACACTTCCCCACACTCCCCATAGCACCACACACTCCCAATACACTTTCCACACACCCCACACACTCTCTACACACTTTCCACACACCCCACACACTCACACACTCCCACACACTCCCCCACACTTCCCCACACTCCCCCACACTCAGCAGTCATCTCCATCTTTCCTAGGCGTAAGGGCTTAGTCTGGGAATTCAACAGTTTACGAGATGGGAAACTTTGCCACCCAGTGTTAGCGTTGTTAAGGAAAACCTCCTAGCGCTTCCAAGCCAATTACCAACCACAATTAAGGAAAGATTTCGTAAATGATCAGATACATACTTCACGTATTCCGACCCAGATGAATCCTGATCCTTATTACTCAAGACAGAGACGAAAATGTTGCATCTCACTTGCCCCACAAGAGCAACGTTGTGTCTCTCTCCACAAAAACAGGAGAGAGACAGAAAATATTTCCTTGTTCTAACAGGACCATTAACGGGTAAAAAACAACGACAGAGTTCTGTTTGTGAAAACAGTCCCCGCCCCACCCCCAGTTATTGTTCTTGAAATAAATCATCTAATTCGTGAACGGGAGGTCGCCGCAACACTGTGGAGGTCGCCGCAACACTGTGGAGTTCGCCGCAACACTGTGAAGGTCGCCGCAACACTGTGGAGGTCGTCGCAACACTGTGGAGGTCGTCGCAACACTGTGGAGGTCGCCGCAACACTGTGGAGGTCGCCGCAACACTGTGGAGGTCGCCGCAACACTGTGGAGGTCGCCGCAACACTGTGGAGGTCGTCGCAACACTGTGGAGGTCGCCGCAACACTGTGGAGGTCGCCGCAACACTGTGGAGGTCGCCGCAACACTGTGGAGGTCGCCGCAACACTGTGGAGGTCGTCGCAACACTGTGGAGGTCGCCGCAACACTGTGGAGGTCGCCGCAACACTGTGGAGTTCGCCGCAACACTGTGGAGGTCGCCGCAACACTGTGGAGGTCGCCGCAACACTGTGGAGGTCGCCGCAACACTGTGGAGGTCGCCGCAACACTGTGGAGGTCGCCGCAACACTGTGGAGGTCGCCGCAACACTGTGGAGGTCGCCGCAACACTGTGGAGGTCGCCGCAACACTGTGGAGGTCGCCGCAACACTGTGGAGGTCGCCGCAACACTGTGGAGGTCGCCGCAACACTGTGGAGGTCGCCGCAACACTGTGGAGGTCGCCGCAACACTGTGGAGGTCGCCGCAACACTGTGGAGGTCGCCGCAACACTGTGGAGGTCGCCGCAGCACTGTAGAGGTCGCCGCAACACTGTGGAGGTCGCCGCAACACCGTGGAGGTCGTCGCAGCACTGTGGAGGTCACCGCAACACTGTGGAGGTCGCCGCAACACTGTGGAGGTCGCCGCAACACTGTGGAGGTCGCCGCAACACTGTGGAGGTCGTCGCAGCACTGTGGAGGTCACCGCAACACTGTGGAGGTCGCCGCAACACTAAGGAAGTCACCGAAACACTGAGGAGGTCACCACAACACCGAGGAGGTCGCCGCAACACTGGAGGTCGCCGCAACACTGGAGGTCGCCGCAACACTGGAGGTCGCCGCAACACTGAGGAAGTCGCCTCAACACTGAGCAGGTTGTCGCAACACTGAGGAAGTCGCCGCAACACTGAGCAGGTTGTCGCAACACTGAGGAAGTCGCCGCAACACTGGAGGTCGCCGCAACACTGAGGAAGTCGCCTCAACACTGAGCAGGTTGTCGCAACACAACAACGACAACGCAAAAAAACAATTGAATATTTACGGGTGATTAATTATATTTAAACTATAATGTTTAATGTATCAAGTGTCTCCTTGATGCTTGGAGAGTATATTAACATATGTTTTGTCAAAATGTTATGTATTTGGAATATTTTCTAACATATTTTTACCCTTAGGTCCACTGAAATGACCAAGATACGTGGTGGATATGTTTACAAGATGAAAGATACTCGGGTATCTCTGCTTTGTTTGGGACTTTGCACTTTGGTTCATATATTAAAGTTAAAAGTTAAATGGGAGCATTACAACAAATTATTGTTGTTAGATGGATTGGTAATTTAGAAGTGATAAAGCTCATTCCTTTTTATAGGAAGAATATTTTCACACACCCCCTTCCCACACCCCCACACACATCCTCCTCCGCCTCCCCAAGCACATCCCTCCTCTCTCCCCACCTCCCCACACACCTCCCCCCTCCCCCCCCACACCTTCCCCCCCCCTTGACACAATCAACAACAAAGCGACCGTAAAACAGAGGACAAACAGTGAACGAAAATTTATGTCTTATTGGATCCCCGTGACAACTGCAACCGTTTCCAGAACTACCGGAGGCGGGTCCCGACCCGAGAAGACAAGACGGTGGCAAGATGTTCTCAGTCTGGAGGTAAGAACCCACTACCAGGAGTTGTGACGCTGAGATCAGCTGCGATCTGTGAGTTCACAGCCTGAGTGACAGCAGACAACAAGGTAGGACATGGGGGAGCAAGGTAGGACATGGCGGGAGCAAGGTAGGACATGGGGGCAGCAAGGTAGGACATGGGGGCAGCAAGGTAGGACATGGGGCAGCAAGGTAGGACATGGGGGCAGCAAGGTAGGACATGGGGCAGCAAGGCAGGACATGGGGCAGCAAGGTAGGACATGGGGGCAGCAAGGTAGGACATGGGGCAGCAAGGTAGGACATGGGGCAGCCAGTTAGGACATGGGGGCAGCAAGGTAGGACATGGGGCAGCAAGGTAGGACATGGGGCAGCAAGGTAGGACATGGGGCAGCAAGGTAGGACATGGGGCAGCAAGGTAGGACATGGGGCAGCAAGGTAGGACATGGGGCAGCAAGGTAGGACATGGGGCAGCAAGGTAGGACATGGGGGAGCAAGGTAGGACATGGAGCAGCAAGGTAGGACATGGAGCAGCAAGGTAGGACATGGAGCAGTAAGGTAGGACATGGAGCAGCAAGGTAGGACATGGAGCAGCAAGGTAGGACATGGAGCAGCAAGGTAGGACATGGGGGCAGCAAGGTAGGACATGGGGGCAGCAAGGTAGGACATGGGGAGCAAGGTGACATGGGGCAGCAAGGTAGGACATGGGGCAGCAAGGTAGGACATGGGGCAGCAAGGTAGGACATGGGGCAGCAAGGTAGGACATGGGGCAGCAAGGTAGGACATGGGGCAGCAAGGTAGGACATGGGGCAGCAAGGTAGGACATGGGCAGCAAGGTAGGACATGGAGCAGCAAGGTAGGACAGGCAGCAAGGTAGGACATGGAGCAGCAAGGTAGGACATGGAGCAGCAAGGTAGGACATGGAGCAGCAAGGTAGGACATGGAGCAGCAAGGTAGGACATGGAGCAGCAAGGTAGGACATGGAGCAGCAAGGTAGGACATGGAGCAGCAAGGTAGGACATGGAGCAGCAAGGTAGGACATGGAGCAGCAAGGAAGGACATGGGGCAGCAAGGTAGGACATGGGGGCAGCAAGGTAGGACATGGGGCAGCAAGGCAGGACATGGAGCAGCAAGGCAGGACATGGAGCAGCAAGGCAGGACATGTAGCAGCAAGGTAGGACATGGAGCAGCAAGGCAGGACATGGAGCAGCAAGGTAGGACATGGAGCAGCAAGGTAGGACATGGAGCAGCAAGGTAGGACATGGGGGCAGCAAGGTAGGACATGGAGCAGCAAGGTAGGACATGGAACACAAGGTAGGACATGGGGCAGCAAGGCAGGACATGGAGCAGCAAGGTAGGACATGGGGACAGCAAGGAAGGACATGGAGCAGCAAGGTAGGACATGGAGCAGCAAGGTAGGACATGGGGGCAGCAAGGTAGGACATGGGGGCAGCATAGGGGGCAGCAAGGTAGGACATGGGGCAGCAAGGTAGGACATGGGGCAGCAAGGTAGGACATGGGGCAGCAAGGTAGGACATGGGGCAGCAAGGTAGGACATGGGGGCAGCAAGGTAGGACATGGGGGCAGCAAGGTAGGACATGGGGCAGCAAGGTAGGACATGGAGCAGCAAGGTAGGGCACATGGAGCAGCAAGGTAGAACATGGAGCAGCAAGGTAGGACATGGGGCAGCAAGGTAGGACATGGGGGCAGCAAGGAAGGACATGGAGCAGCAAGGCAGGACATGGAGCAGCAAGGTAGGACATGGAGCAGCAAGGTAGGACATGGAGCAGCAAGGTAGGACATGGAGCAGCAAGGTAGGACATGGAGCAGCAAGGTAGGACATGGAGCAGCAAGGCAGGACATGGAGCAGCAAGGTAGGACATGGGGCAGCAAGGTAGGACATGGAGCAGCAAGGTAGGACATGGAGCAGCAAGGTAGGACATGGAGCAGCAAGGACATGGGACATGGGGCAGCAAGGTAGGACATGGAGCAGCAAGGTAGGACATGGAGCAGCAAGGTAGAACATGGAGCAGCAAGGTAGGACATGGAGCAGCAAGGTAGGACATGGAGCAGCAAGGTAGAACATGGAGCAGCAAGGTAGAACATGGAGCAGCAAGGTAGGACATGGAGCAGCAAGGTAGGACATGGAGCAGCAAGGTAGAACATGGAGCAGCAAGGTAGGACATGGAGCAGCAAGGTAGGACATGGAGCAGCAAGGTAGGACATGGAGCAGCAAGGCAGGACATGGAGCAGCAAGGTAGGACATGGGGCAGCAAGGCAGGACATGGGGGCAGCAAGGTAGGACATGGGAAGACATGGGGTGGAAGAGAAGACATCAGGGATGAGCATCAGAGCACCCATTCTACCCATTCTAGTATTTTGAGGAACGAAATTCCTCAACTACATTTTAAATAACTATTATAACACGTGGAAGGTAATTTTTTCAGGAGGAAGAACCGAGCCACTACGACTATATAACACTTGGAAGGAATATGAGGATCAGGATTTAGTACGAGACGAGGAATGATGCCCAACCACTTGGACTGTCGGGGATTGAACGCGGACCTGCAAGAAGCGAGGCCGGCGCACTGCCGTCCAATCCACGTGGATGGGTATAACACGTGGAAATGAGCTGCGAAATTTTCAGGGCATCCGCATTTATATAAACCACATTTCTGTTATGGTTAAATGAATCGTTAGACGAGGTTAAATCTCAACACTTGTTCTTCCTTTACGTCAAACTGATGGAAGGAAAACAAATTTAAATAACAGAGAGATTTTGAGCAAGAAAAAGTGTGATATATTGTCTAAATAATAAGACAAAAATCGAGAGTTCTGAGCAGTCAACTTACATTATTAAACCAGGGTTTACTTTCTTAATATTTTTAAACTAAAGTAATTCGATCCTAAGCAATGGAATTATAAAGCTTTTACCTCCATAATGGAAACTTATTAAGAGTAAACTGACCATAAATTTACCTTATTTTACAAAATATTTGACAACCAAATTAATCGTTTTAAATAATTATATCTAAAGACTGGTAATGTCTTTAGATATAACCAAATCTTTGTCAGCACATTATTAATAACGTGCAATGATTATACATACACACAACCTTTCCCTGTCTCCCATTCATCCCCACCATTCCCCCCTCCCCCGTCTCCTCGTCCTCCCCACCATTCCCCCCTCCCCCGTCCCCTCGTCCTCCCCACCATTCCCCCCCTCCCACGTCCCCTCGTCCTCCCCACCATCTCCCACTCCCCGTCCCCTCGTCCTCCCCACCATTCCCCCCCTCCCCCGTCCCCTCGTCTTCCCCACCATCTCCCACTCCCCGTCCCCTCGTCCTCCCCACCATTTCCCACTCCCCCGTCCCCTCGTCCTCCCCACCATCTCCCACTTCCCCGTCCCCTCGTCCTCCCCACCATTACCCCCCTCCCCCGTCCCCTCGTCCTCCCCACCATCCCCCACTCCCCCGCCCCCTCGTCCTCCCCACCATCTCCCACTCCCCGTCTCCTCGTCCTCCCCACCATCTCCCACTCCCCCGTCCCCTCGTCCTCCCCACCATCTCCCACTCCCCGTCCCCTCGTCCTCCCCACCATCTCCCACTCCGCCGTCCCCTCGTCTTCCCCACCATCTCCCACTCCCCGTCTCCTCGTCCTCCCCACCATCTCCCACTCCCCGTCTCCTCGTCCTCCCCACCATCTCCCACTCCCCCGTCCCCTCGTCCTCCCCACCATCTCCCACTCCCCGTCTCCTCGTCCTCCCCACCATCTCTCACTCCCCCGTCCCCTCGTCCTCCCCACCATCTCCCACTCCCCGTCTCCTCGTCCTCCCCACCATCTCCCACTCCCCGTCTCCTCGTCCTCCCTACCATCTCCCACTCCCCCGTCCCCTCGTCCTCCCCACCATCTCCCACTCCCCGTCCCCTCGTCCTCCCCACCATCTCCCACTCCCCGTCTCCTCGTCCTCCCCACCATTCCCCCCCTCCCCCGTCTCCTCGTCCTCCCCACCATCTCCCACTCCCCCGTATCCTCGTCCTCCCCACCATTCCCCCCCTCCCCCGTCTCCTCGTCCTCCCCACCATCTCCCACTCCCCGTCTCCTCGTCCTCCCCACCATTCCCCCCCTCCCCCGTCCCCTCGTCCTCCCCATCATTCCCCACTCCCTCGTCTGATGCATTCCCAAATGATCTGATGTTCCCATCAGAAAATTGGGAACATCAAATGATCTGATGTTCCCATCACTGAAATATAAGGAAAACTGTTAAAAAACGAAATGAAAAAAAAAATAAAAAAATAAACTATACTCACGAAATGAACGGTATGGTAAACAACACAGCTCAATTCCAATGCAATGTCACACAAAATAATTAAATCAAAATGAAAATAAATCGAAATCTATAAAAATTCAATGTGTCAATGCAATCGGAAACACTGAAATGGAATCGTAACATATTTAGTATAGAGTGCGTTGCTCTTACGTGCATCAGATGGTGCTGTTTCTTAAAAAAGAATGTTTTTACCTGTCCAGGTGTGGCAATATGTTTCATTGAATATGACTGCATATTCTGTATTGATTATTTTCTTGTTTAGGGAGGCTTCTATCCCTCTGACTAGTGCTCTAGCATCTTGGTTTAATTGGAAGAGGAGTTTTCCAATTGTCCTCTTCGTATGAGGTGAAGAAAAATAAATAAATAACTGCAGAATGTATTACACTTATTATAAAATTTACACAACGTTTCGAACCTACATGGTTCCTTCTCAAGTGATAAGAAAATACAAGGCGTGTTAGACTTATACCATTAAGGGGGTCAGGTAAAGACAAGTATACCTATACAAATGGGTCAAGAATAAGGCAAAAAAAGGAGGGAAAAAGTAAGGTGTAAAAAAAAGGCTACTATAGGGGACGAAGCACATACAAAGATTTGCACATACATACATATTTGTCTTTTTCTTTTACGACTTAACTTGGGCGTCCCAATGCCTTACGTTGGGACGCTGCCCCAATTCACACCGAATACAGGTGTATATGCCTCGAGGCAGTGGCCGACAGGTGTGGACATCATGACTTTCTCTGCCAAAGGACAGGAGGATGGCTATTGAACAGAATAGAAAGTTATGAACAAGAAAAAGCTGCATATAAGGAAAAATCTTCACATTCTCTAACTTGGTCAGTTAAAGGTTTCGTCCAAAGCCTTATGTTATAGACTTCACAAAGCAGACCTACTGACAAGGTCAAGAATCCACTAATACAAATCCACAAAATCGTAGATAATTTAGTTTTTTTCAGAGTATTGCTGCGGGCAGAGGCAGCTTTGGACTTGATAAAACTGAGTCAACTTTGCAAGTGTTCCTAAGTTGATGACTTCTACAAATTGGTGAGAAATGCTTCCATTACTCGCCAGGTTTTTACAAGCGGCTGATTTAATTATTTTGATATGGGCATTTATTTTTTTTTTTTACACGGGTGAGTACAGAAACAGACGACTTCTGACTCATGTTAGCAGGCTGAGAGCTTTTCCTTCCCATAACTGACGGTGGGAAGGGAAAGAGCCATTAGTAAAGCTCCCTTCTCATGAAGGAGCCTTACTAATCTACCCTGGAACATGGTCCGCTAATATCGATTAAGAACCAGGCACCCAATTACTGCTTGGACGAACAGACTCGAACAGTTGAGGATTGACCTCTAGACAATCCTCCCTGCTATGTCTACTCCTAAATTAATATATATTTCTACTCCTCCAGTGGCCTTCGTCGACACATACATCGAGGTCATCGACACATACCATTTGGAGCGTGTTAACTGCATCGTGAAGCATTAATACAATGTTACAGTTACGGTATATTTTATGTGGCCTCTGTGTCAGTAACCTTCATATTGTAACCGTTTTTAAATATTTCCCTTTGATAGATCAACTGAACGTGCTACCAACACGGATGATATACGTAAACATTTGCGGAATTTTGACAATTATAATTGTACATGTTTGTTTACTGCCTTCTAGTTGGATATCCTCGCGAAAAACTAATTTTGTGAATAACACTTGTTATCAACAGTTGAGGGTGCAGGCTTGTTGACGTGTCACGTGGTCGGAAGACATGTTTGTGACGTGTGCCAACTCCGTCACTTCACACCTGCAAAACCCGACTCACATATCTGACAACAAAAAAATTGGCATTGACGACGTTTCTGACCGTCCTGGATCGTTATCAAGTCCAGGACAGACCGAAACCGTCATCGCTTCCTTCATTTTCAGATGTCTGAATTTTCTATCTTATCTTTCAGTCACGTTGTTGTGACTTCCTGTCTTCACACTGCTATCTTAAGCCCCCGTGCATGCATCTTACCGGTGGACAGATGTCAGTGGGTCTTTTAGTTGATAGATCTGTAAACAAATAAATGTACATAAAGTCGATTGTGAACGAATAGGGGAAAGAAGAGAGGAAATAGGAAGAGGGTTGGTAAAGCAAGGGGTAGGGAGGAGGAGGAGGAGGAGGAGGAGGAGGAGGAGGAGGAGGAGGAGGAGGAGGAAAGCAAGGGTAGAGATTAAAACTCGAGGAAGGAAGCCAGGGAATGGAAAGTGATGGAGAAGGATTAGGATATCGATAAAGGATGTACGAGTAGCGATAGCGACGGTGAGTGCCGATAGCAACGGTGAGTGACGATAGCGACGGTGAGTGACGATAGCGACGGTGAGTGACGATAGCAACGGTGAGTGACGATAGCGACGGTGAGTGACGACAGCGACGGTGAGTGACGATAGCGACGGTGTCGGGGATAGTGTCGATGATAGCGGCGGCCGGTGACTATGAGAGAACGACCATCCACCATCTCCAAGATGCCGAAGTCAAGAACGGTGAGGACAGCGGAGGTAAGGATATCCGGCCGAGCCACGATGACAGAGATAACAGATTTAAAGCGTCCAAGTTGCTGACTGGAGGAAGAGTGAAGGACGGAGAAAGAGGGTACTGGAGAAACGACAAAGGACTGAAGGGACGAAGAAAGGAAGGGCATGAGAGAAGAGACGACGAAGGAGGGGAGAAGAGAAGAAGAAGAAGAACAGGAGGAATTAGTGAGCGAGTGAGGATGGGAGGGATATAGAAGAATAAGAGGGGTTGGAGAAGGGTGGGCAAGAGGAAGCGATTAAGTGAGATGAGGGATTAAGAAACAAAGGAAAGCTTAACAAGACAGAGAAAAATAAAGGTGTTAAAGGATATATATGAGATGAACGGGGAGGAAGGAAGAACACTTAGCTTATGAGACTAGAGGTAATCTCTCTAGTCATCCGCTACTAGGTATTCAGCCGGATATAAACTTTCGATATAAATCTTACAACATGAAATACAGACTCAAGCATAAGTCTTTTAAAATCATCCCGTTATCTTTATTGCAAAGGCACTCACAATATGCAACACCCACTACCAACATTAACCAGCAAGCCTGTCAACACCTTCAACACCTGCCACCAACATTACCTTAATGAGTTGAAAGACTATGACCGAGAAATTACCTTCAAACCTTAAGAAGTAACTATCAGATCAGTTCTTAGTCTGTCGTCATATTCCTTCTTAGTGTAGTATACCCAAACTAAGCGCTTTTTCCTGATAATTACCACACCTTGTTCATATATATTTATGTTCAAGTATATCAGTGTTTAAAATAATTTAAGCACTTATTCACACACAGAGATCACACTAATGTGATGCATCAAATGAACAAATCCACAAGGGCCGTGACGAGGATTCGAACCTGCGTCCAGCTCAGTCGATTAAGGCAGTGTCTGGGATGCTCCTGGACGCAGGTTCGAATCCTCGTCACGGCCCTTGTGGATCTGTTCTTAAGCACTTTTTTTTAATAATACGCAGGAAGACTGATCATATCCACGTGTAACAAATATTTCATAGTTGTCAAGACCCATTGCAGGACATGTAGTCAGTCCCAGAGATATTATTTGATTATTAAAATTCGCTTCACAGAGAGTTTTCTGGCGAAAGAAATGACGTAGGGAGACAAGTGTTGATTTTGGCCATAAAATTTACGAAAACATTTGCATACTAGAGTCACTCCAAACATGTCAACCCGACAACTGAAGCTCCGGAGAAGCGCGCAGGGAAAATTTAATATTGCGCACATGCCAGTGATGTAATTTTGTTTTTTCCGTCATTTTACTGTGTATTTATATAAACAAATGTGGTTCCGTGTAACCAAATACGCGAGACTTTAATATTACCTGGTGATAATGCCGCAGCATTTGTGGGGAGCTTTCAAGGATTAAAACATTTACAATGTTATTTTTACACATTTCAAGCAACATTGTGCGAATGTATGGACTATACGAACACAAGGGATTAATGACGCCATTAATTACCATTGGCATTGTTTGGCAAATACTGCGAAGGTCACTATAATACAACACCTGTACGCTCGTGGCAAACTGCCAAGTACAATGTTCCCCCAACTTAACTTTTTTTCCAGGAAGAAATATGTTCTATGTTTTAAAACATTTTTCCCCCACGGAATAGCACATTATGTAGCCCCGAAGAAACTATTAATATACCTCAGGGTAAAATCTAATGTTCCACAGAGGGGGAAACTGGTATGAACTCCAGGGTAAAGAACCTAATGTACCCCCGAACATATGAATATATGTAACAAAACAAAAATCATCACTACTCCCAGATAAAATAATGATCCATGGGATAATACAACAGCCCCGATACACGCCACTATGCCCGGGGGGTACATGTGGGCATACCATTATACTCTCTGCAAAGAAAGTATGCCATTAAAGCTTAATTCACATCGCGGTAAAACATCATGCCTCTCTCCTCCCTCCCTCCTGATAAAACAACGTATTACCCGGTAGAACATTGTTTTATAAAGCAAAATCTGCCCCCCTGGCGAATCAAAATATTGATGTCGTTACAAAGCACTGTATCCTCGGATGGAGAGCATTGTGCTCCCCCAATATGGTATATATTCCTTTGTAAAAACTAACAGTAAATCGTGGTTAAACTTAATGTACTCATAAATATAATGTACTCTGGAAATGAGCTATAATGTACTGTATAATGTAGCCTGGAATGAGCTATAATGTACGACCTCGAAAACCAGGTTCAACCTATTCAAATATTATTGGCCAATTTGGTATATAAAATAATACGTATGAGATTAAAACAACAGGAACATAGATAGACTAGTTAAATATTGTATTCTTGGCACTAATTACTCTTTGCTGAAGGACATTACTCCGTGGTAAGTCATCTTACCACAGAGTAATGTCATACCCAATTGTTTTCTGTACAATCATTAACAATACAAATGTTTACTAGTCATTTAAAGAGATTGTAAATGATATTAATAGGAATCTAAAGTAAACACTTTTCTTACTGTAAGGGTAGAAAAGATTCATAAATCTTATTCACGTCATTAGCATTATAAAAATTTCCACCATACAATCGAGATAATTTCAGGAACCTGAGATGGTTTCGAAGCAAGATGAAAAGAAGCCTACAAAGAACACATAATAAAAATTACGTATCAACGTTAACGGAATAATCACAGAGAAAATATACGAAGATACTGAAATCCGGGTAGCAAACCCCGGAGACTTTATTTACACCTCTCGGCATCCCATTACATTGCCTGTTAATATACGTGATAATTTAGTGTACCAAGTAAAAATGTACATAAATGCCACTGAGAGAATTTTACTAATTGGTCCCTGCTTGTTAAGCGAAGGAATATTTGAGTCCTGAAGGGTTAAAGGATGTGATAGAGGAGACGTGATAAAGAGCAGATGCAAGAACGAGAGAGTATGAGACGAGAGATACGTAGGAGCGGAAAGAGGATATGTAAAAGGAGATACGGGAGAGTGGAGCAAGTGAAGGCATGAGGAAACACATGACGATAATCTTGGGGAGTGTCAAGTAGGAGATGAAGGGAAATCTGTAGGTGAGATACGCAAGAAGAAGCAGTTTCGACATGCATGAAACGAAGAGAACTGGCAATGAAAAAAAGACCAAATAAGAAAACTGAAAAATAAGATAATGTAGAGGACAAGACGACGATGAATGGCAAGAAGGAGGAGGAAGAAGCGGTGTACGAATAATATCACAAACAAGATGACGAAGAAAAATATGAAATGAAGATGTATTGTGTAAGATTTAAAGGATAAAGTTTAATAAATGACACAAAGAAATCAGGAGGGGTCAAGAGGAAAAGCGGAAGGAAAGGGACGGACGAGAGAGGGAGAAAAGGAAAGATGATATGAATATCCTTCCTATATAGAAGTTGGATATGAATAATGAAAAGAGAGAGAGAGAGAGAGAGCGCGCGCGCGCGAGAGAGAGAGAGAGAGAGAGAGAGAGAGAGAGAGAGAGAGAGAGAGAGAGAGAGAGAGAGAGAGAGAGAGAGAGAGAGAGAGAGAGAGAGAGAGAGAGAGAGAGACCGAGCGAGAGAGAGAGAGAGAGAGAGAGAGAGAGAGAGAGAGAGAGAGAGAGAGAGAGAGAGGGGAGAGAGAGAGAGAGAGAGATAGAGAGAGAGAGAGAGAGAGAGAGAGAGAGAGAGAGAGAGAGAGAGAGAGAGAGAGAGAGAGAGAGAGAGAGAGAGAGAGAGCGACTGAGCGAGAGAGAGAGAGAGAGAGAGAGAGAGAGAGAGAGAGAGAGAGAGAGAGAGAGAGAGAGAGAGAGAGAGAGAGAGAGAGAGAGAGAGAGAGAGAGAGAGAGAGAGAGAGAGAGAGAGAGAGAGAGAGAGAGAGAGAGAGAGAGAGAGAGAGAGAGAGAGAGAGAGAGAGAGAGAGAGAGAGAGAGAGAGAGAGAG